AAGGGTGGAAGGAAGAGGGGTAGGGAGAGGAGGAAGGAAGGAAGGGGGGAGGGAGAAGGGGAGGGGGGAGGAAGATATGGTGAGGAGGATGGAGAGGGAGCAGAGAAGGGGGATAAATACAGGAGGAAAAGGGAAAGCGAAGATGGGTGAGAAGAAGGAGAGGAGATGCGAGGACAGAGGGGAAAGGGGAAGTGAGAAGAGAGAGAGAGAGAGAGAGAGAGAGAGAGAGAGAGAGAGAGAGAAGAGAGAGAGAGAGAGAGAGAGAGAGAGAGAGAGAAGAGAGAGAGAGAGAGTTAGAGAGAGAGAGAGGAATTGAAGGGAGGGAAGGGGAGGGGAAGGGAGCCAAAAGGAGAAAGTGAGAAAGAGAAGGATTAAGAAGGGAGATGAGAGGGAGGAGGGACGGAAAGAAACGAGGGATAGAGAAGAGAGAAGCAGGGGAAGAGGCGGCGGGGGGGGGGGAGCTACCAGGAGAGGGAAGGGGTTCGCTATAATCACAGAATTTTATTTGCAAAAAGCGCATTACGAAAGGATTAGTAGGAGGGGGGGGGGGTAGGAGAGGGGGGAGATGGTAGAGGCAAAGCCGGTGCATATTTTCTCATTTTTTTTTGGTTAACAATACTTTGTTTCTCACTCCCTCCTCCGCTCACTTTCCCTCCTCCTCCTCCTCCTCCTCCTCCTCATTTTTCTTGTTCATCTTCTTTTCAGTATATGCTTCAGTCTGCCTACGTTTGTTCCTTTATCTCTAGTGCTCTGTCCTTTTTATCATCCACTTTCTCCTTGATTCCCTGTTCTCTTTATGGCATAAACATCATCCTTTGATCCCCATGCTTAGTTTTAGAAAGGTATGAATGAGAATTAAAAAAATCTTCACAAAACAAAAGATGTATTCAACCGCTTTCGAATACCTCTTCGTCAGATATATATATATACGAAACCAGCAAATACACGTCTTGTATTGTGAAGATATTCATTCTCATTCATATCTTTGTCAACATGATACGTTCTCCATGCTGTCTTTTCCTTCTCCTGTCTTTTCCTTTCTCTAAGTTCTTTACCAGGTATTTTTCCTTCAGTCATCTCCTTCAACCCACATCCACGTATTACACGTCCAATCCGTCTCTCTTTGGCTTTATGTGTATAGAGATACATACATATATACTATAATGAATAACCACGAGATTTAATCGGGACATTATATAGATTACATTATAGTTATTCATTATTCATATAGGTAACTTTACGAGAATTCACATATATAAATCACATTTTAATGAATTACATCTGTGATTTTGTTTATTTCATGTTATATCAAAACTATATAATTCACAAACCAGATCAATGTATAATTTATGTATAGTCAACAAATTAACAAAATGGCAAAATCGATTATATTTTCTATGCAGTCGCCACAGAAAAAACAATAGAACCTCATTTTATTAATATCGTCATAACTGTGTATGCTCATTATGTGAAACTCCCAAGCGATTTTATTTTCGAAAAAGATACTAAGCCATTACTTCGCATATGCTATGAATATATTGATATTTTCCCCATTGGCCAAGGTGGGTAGACTGTGAGGATAAATTGGCTTTTTCTAGCACGATAATTTGGGTTTTTATCTTCAATTTGCAACAACAACAGCAACAAAAACCTGCCTACTTGAATAAATGTCTGTTTGTTCATCAAAGGTTGAAAAATAGAAAGCTGAGATGTCTAGCTTTTTCAAACCATGTTTTCTAGCAATATATATGCAGTATATTTTAACTTGCTAGTGAAAACATTGAAAAAAATGGCTTCATACAAAAAAAAAAAATCTTATTAAGTGAATGTAATTTTGCCTTTCTTCCTGTGGTTGTTGTCTTCATCACCTCTCCTTTACTTTGCTCCTTCTCTCCCTTCTTCTTCTTCTTCTTTTCCGTATGCGTCGGGTGTCTATATGTGTTCATGACGCATTTGTGTGTATGGTGTACGTGTGTGTGAGCGTGTGTGTATATAGGGTACCTGTGTGCGTTTATGCCGTACCTTAGCTTATTCGATGTATACATGTGTACGTAACTAGAGTATAAGGATATAAATGATTTTTTTTTTACTTCATTTCCTCTCTCCGCACTTACAGCATTTCCCAACACCTTCCTTAAGACGCCCGTAATCCCACGACAACAGGAGAGAAAAAAAAAGAAGATAAGAAATAGCGGCTCGGGAAGAAACATCTGACTCGAGTTTCGCTAATTAGCAGAATTTTGTCTGATGAGTGCAGATTGGCGAAAGTAACGTCTGTATGTCTCTTCTCTTGCTGTCTCAGATTCGGCTCCTCATGACGGTGGGATGTTTGTTGGGCTCATTAAGGAGGGGGGACACCAAAAAAAAAAAAACAGAACGACCCATACACCACACCACCAACCCACCCCCACAACACACACAATATATATATAATATTTATATATATTATTATTATTAATATAACTAATATAATTATATAATAATAATAATTAACATTATAAATTTTTTTTATTATAATATATTAATNTGACGTGGCGGAATGCGGCCTCCTTCCTCCTCCGAGATTCAGGGTCATATTGCTTGCCAGAGGGTCATAAAGATAAGTAAATCAAACTGAGAGAAACTTTTAAGATAAAACACAAAAAATCTCAAAAACAAAATGGAAAATATCCCGCGCTGAAATAATACAGAGGAGAACTTTTATAGGCCAGTAAAGGAAGCCAACCACGCCTGCATGCCTTCCCTCTTCCTCTCTCTTTCCCCTCACCCCTCTCCCTTTCCCCTCTACCTTTCCCCTCTACCCTTTCCTTCCCTTTTCCCACTTCCCCCTCTCCCCTCTCCCTTTCCCCTCTACCTTCCCTCTTCCCCTCTCCCTCTCCCTTTTCCTTCTCCCTCCCCCTTCCCCTTCCCCTCTCACGTCTCCCTTTTCCTTCTCCCTCCCCCTTTCCCTCTTCCCCCTCCCTCCCCTCCCCTCTCCTCTTCCCCCCTTCCCCCTTCTCCCTGACAAGTGACGAGGAAGGAAAAAAAAAAATACGGAATGCGCGACGGATTTCGGAGGACGATGTGTGTGCGTGTGTGTGTGTGTGTGCGTGTGTGTGTGCTGGTGTGTGTGTGTGTGGTGTGTGTGTGCATAGATGTGTTTATGTATGTGTATGTGCGTGTGCGTGTGCGTGTGTGTGTGTGTGTGTGTGGTGTGTTGTGTGT